GTGGATCAAAACAACAAACTCAAGGCAGAAAATGAAACCCTGAGAAAGACTGTTGAGAGTAGGAATACGGCTGGTGGATCAGCGGTCAGTACTGCAGGTTCCACTTTGCATGCTAATGTGAATACAGTGTATGAAAGTGAAGTTGAAAAGAGTAGATCTGTTGTTATCATTGGTTTGTCGGAGCTTAATTCTTCTTCGGCAATTGAGCGTGCAAACTATGATTTCCAGAATGTCAATTCTTTATTGAACCATTTAGATGTCGAATGTGTCCCTACTGCGGTTTACCGCATGGGGAAGGTTAACAGTAGTAGTACTAGACCTCGACTTTTTAAAGTTGTCTTTCCTGCATCTCGTCCAACAAATGGCGGCTAGGCGGGCCCGAGGCTGCGCTCTTTCGATCCGAAAGGCGTTTTCCTTCGCCCTTCTTTATCTTTAGAAGAAAGGTTGCAGTATCGCGGGGCACGCTTAGCCAAAAAAGCTTCTCGTGTTGTTGTGAATTCTAATTCAAATGCTCATGTTCTTTGTTCTGCTCAGTCTAATCGTGTTTCGGATGCTGTGTCTGCTCCTGTTGATTCAAGTCATAATCCTGGAGCTAAAGCATTGTCTCTCGATTCAAATGTGGGCCAGGCAAACAACTGAGTTTTCCACGGTTAAACCGTTTGTTCATTAAAGGTCTTTTAACCAATATAAGATCTGCAGTAAAAAATGCTGATGCTTTAGGAGCTTGTATTTGTAAGGAAAACTTCGATCTGCTTATTTTATCTGAGACATGGTTTCATTCACATACTGATATGGCGCCGTTGCTTGGATTAGTGGCACACAATATCAAATATTTCGTACTGGTAGGGTGCGCAAACGAGGGGGTGGAGTTGCTGTATTAGTTAAATGTCCTCATTCGGCAAGCATCGCTTTCACTGAGTTGCCTGACTCTTATGAAATTTTGATTTGCGATACTTGGTTTTATTCCTTGGAGATTAGAGTGATTGCGGTCTATAGAGTACCCTCGTGCAGTTCTCCAAAAAATGATCAACTTCTCAAAGCAATAAGTGACTTTTATGCATGTGGAAAGATCTGTGTCGTTGCTGAGGACTTTAATTACCCTAATTTTAGTAATAGTCTAATCCCTCATGGTAACACGTGTGCTTCTAAATTTTTCAATTTATGTGTATCCCATCATTTGATTAATACTGTAATATTTCCCATGCGTTTCAACTCTCATCTGGATTTGCTTTTGTGTAATGACAATACACTCATTCGCAATGTCAAATATGGGCCTCCGCTTGGTAACAGCGATCGCGCTGCTATCAAATTTTGCCTTTCCTCACCCAGTTTGCACGTCAAGGTTTCGTGGATCAGAGATTTTAAGTCCACGGATTTTCAAAGCTGTGAGAAATTATCTGCATCAAATTGACTTGTTGGGCTCTTTCAATAATGCTCATTCGGTTAATGACAAATATGAAATGTTTCTAGCAATTTTGAATCATGCCATTGAATTGTTCACGCCCTTCAAAGTAAAAAGCTATTGCGTTCATCCAAATCTTCCGAGGCACTTAAGCTCTCTTGAAAAAGTTAGATTTAGCGCTTGGCGGCGAGCGGTTTCCTCACAATCCGCATGCGAATGGAATGCCTTCCATGTATTAAATAAAAAGTGGACCCATAAACTTCATAAATATAATTCGTATATTGAAAGGAAAAGGCTTTCGAAAGGTGGTGCAAAGGCATTATATTCTTTGCTCAGGCTGCGACTCAGAGATAAACCTAAAATTAGGACTCTTTTGGCTGACGATTTGACAAGAGCTGTTACGGATAAAGATAAAGCTGAGTTGTTGGCTTGTTCGTTTGAAAGTGTGTTCTCTTCGTCTTTTGGTTCTATGCCTGATATGAGTACGCCTGAAATTGTTTAACAGGGTTCAGCCCAATGGTTTGACAAGTCAACCATTGCTGACATTCTTTATAAATGGACGTGTACGGCTAGTACGAACTGTGAGGGTATTCCCTTTGTTGTAGTAAAAAACTGTATTGTTGAAATATGTCAACCTCTGGTGTTCCTGTTTAACTTGAGTCTCATGAGAGGAGAAGTCCCCTGCAAATGGAAACATTCCATCGTGTTTGCCCTTCCGGAGAAAGAGCCATTTTCGTGTCCTAATAATTACAGACCGATTAGCTTGACGTCAATTTTTGCTCGGACTTTCGAAAAAGTTTTAAAGAAATACTTTTTTGGAACACTTGGGTCAGTATAATATCATTCCGCTCTCACAGCATGGCTTCTGCTCTGGCAAGTCGGCTGAGACAGCTTTCATGTCTTGCATGAACTTATATACAAGTGCGATTGATTCGAGGAAAAATGTGAATGTCATCTTTTTCGATTTCAGTAAAGCTTTTGACAAAGTGTCGCATACGATCTTAATTTTAAATTGAAGCATATAGGTGTGCATCCCTTAGTGGTTAATTGGATTCAGGATTTTCTTGATAATAGAACATTCCAGGTTCTTGTTGGTGACTCCCTTTCCAGTGTTAAAGTTGCTACCAGTGGGGTTCCCCAGGGTGGAGTCCTCTCACCGATTCTATTCAACATCTATACTGTGACCTTCCCCCATGCATCCAAGATCTTGACGTATCTTGTATTATGTTCGCTGATGATATAAAAATATTCAAGGTGGTTAATGATTCTATGTCTGACCCCATTGTTGAACAGGCAATCGATAAAATCGTGATATGGGCTGTTGCAAATGGTCTCAGCTTGTCGTCCGATAAGACTCATGTTATGCGGATTGATTCTCATTCTGTTAGTCCTGTTTACACGGCGGCGGATCACGTGCTTAAAACGGTTTCGGAAGTTCAGTTTTTACCGTTTAAATGACTACCGGTTGAATTCACCGCAATATATTGGTTCCAAAATGCAATCGTCGTTCCTTCGTTCTAAAAACAGGACGTTCTTTTGCGTGCATATAAACTCTGTGTGCGTCCCATTTTGGAATATGGGTCCTCAGTGTTCAATCCCCACGCTAAAAACGATATTCGGGCTCCTGAAAGCGTGCAAAATAGCTTCACCCGCAAGCTGATGCTCAGGCGTTCTGGCCTTCGCTATGTTGACATACCTAATGGGAGCGCAAGGAATGCCAACCTTGATCTCAAAACTCTTGAATGGAGAAGGAAGCGATATGATATGCTAATGACTTATAAAATACTAAAAAACCTTGTAAATATTGATGTTTCAAATTTTTTTCATGTGTTGCCGTCTAATACTAGGGGTGCCTCGATAAGATTATCTACTTCCACAGCTAGGACTCAATGCAGAACTAAGTTTTTTGCTCACGGAGTTCGCACAAATTTCAATTCCCTCTTGCGCTCTAATTTGTTCCCGTTGAAATACTCCACTTTCAGAAAACATGTTGCAAATTTACTATGATTTTATGATTTATCGGATGTTTACTTTTGTGTTTCTGTTTCGGTTGCTTGGTTTTTTTTTTGTTTTTACACTATTCTCGCATGTGTTTCACATGTCTTTTAATAAAATAATAAAATAAATAAATTACTACTATTATTAATGTTATTATTATTATTATTATTGCTATTATTGTTATTGTTATTGTTATTGTTATTATTATTATTATTATTATTATTGTTATTATTATTATCATTATTATTATTATTTAATATTATTAGCATGCCTATCCAGCATTTCAGATAATGCTTGCAGGGCCTGCTCGTCTTGAAATCAGTATAAAGCGAAACGATGTCAAACGATTTGATTATATTACTACTAGCGAGGTCTATGCCTTGTGATAATTCGAGAAAAAGCTTTGTAAGCGCTTCATTAGAGGATAGTTTGTGGGTCTTTACTAGGCTATAGAAAACTGGACAGTTCGCCCCACCCATATTGAGTCTACTGACCAACCTTTCATCAATACCTGCAGATCTAGCGACACTCAACCATATGTGATTGAGGCGATTACACTGTGGTGAAAAGTCCTCAGTCACGCATCGGCAAAAGGAGGAGTCGCTGGGAAGGAGTTCGGTTATATTATAGCTCGATCAAGTATTTGTGTTATGCGTGACATTCCATTCAATCTTAACTCCCAGAATTCCTTTCCCATTGCTTATACGTTAAGTTTGTGCTCCGATGCGTTCTGTTCTGGTGAAGTAGTCAGAACTCCCACGGATAGTAACTTGAACTTAACGTCAACATCGGGCGCCGGTAGGGACTCCTTATAAAAACTACGCGGAAGTGACACAGATGCTGTAAAGGATTAGGATTAAGAAGTTTGCAACTCATGATCTCGCCTGCTTTTAGCGTGCAGTAGATCTCATATTCTCTGAAGACCTCCTACAAGTTTGCTGAACGTATGCGCATTTACGTTCTGCGCGGTGCGAAAGCGGATCTACGCTAAACACGTTCAAAACATTAGAGGAGAGATGAGTGTCTCAAGAACCGCCCGTGCCAAACTGCATCACTCCGAATTTCATGGCTTTTGTGAAGATGGACCGTGGCGGAGTGGGATTCGTGGCTGTGGGTGTCCCCATGATGAGAATTCCTCATTCTTTCGTATTTCTTGGTGAGCAGCTAAGCTTCAAATTGACGCGAGAGGGTGACGCGCTTTTTGGATACTGTGCAAATCAGCTCGAGTTGCTTTGGGCCTTTGAAGAAGATGATAGCGTCGAAGCGTTACGCCGTTCAATCAATAAATTGCTCCACCTAACAACCTCGCACGGCACAAGAATATATTTTAATCATAGAATTTTTGTTTTCAGTAGCCCCTCCCCCATGCCCAGGCTGTACAAGGCTTGGGGTTCCGCTCTCACTTGGCTCGGCGGTTCCACGAGTGCTGTCGGCATACTCGTGTGTTGAACTTCCGGCAAGCTTGTATGACCCCTAAGGTGGCGCTAACGGCACCATTACCGACTGGTGTGGGTGCTTGCCGCGGCTTCCACTGGGTAGCCTCAGGTGTTTCTCTATTGTTATCTTTTCATAGTTTTCAATTATATCCTTTCTTACTTCTGAACTTTTTTCTTAAAATTAGCCTAGATGGTACGACTTCGATGCTCTTATCACTTTATTGACCTGATATATTGCTTGCGTTTACTTTCTGCTTACATTCCCTACTTGATATGTGAGAGCGCGTCATTTCGGCGCGGGAATAAATAAATAAATTAAGTTAGGATCAAAATTAAATGATAGTTAGAAATAAAAATTTTGAAAAAAATTGTCTTGAGACGTTGATCAATCCTGTCTGAGGGATGCGCCCACGCATTCGACTTCCATTCGGAATCGTAGTGGCGTATTGAATGCGTTTGTGACCCATACAATGACCTTCGGTGACCAGCCCATGTGCTACAAGTCTGTGCTTTTAGCCTCCCAGGCGAGTTTGGTACCGATTAATCGACCCCAGAGGGATGGAAGGCTTGGCTAGCCTAGACGTGTATCGGTCCGGGTTTCGAACCCGTTACCATGCGTGTGTGATGTGCACGACTTGCCACCACACCACTGCCGCCCAAGAATAAGAATAAGAAATAGAATTAGGTCAAGAGTAAGAATATCAGTAAGAGTACGAATAAGATTAAAAATGAGAATAAAAATAAGAACAAGAATAAGAATAAGAAAAAGCACAGAAATAGAATATCCTTCAGACGAATAAGAATGAGCATAAGGATAAGAATGAGAATAAAAAGAGGGACAAGAATAAGAATAAGGACAAGAATAGAATATCCCTTCAAGAACGTGAACAAGAACAAGAAGAAGATCAGGAACAAGAACAGAAATAAGAATAAGATAAGAATAAGAATAGGAATAAGAATAAGAATAAGAATAAGATTATGATTAAGACTACGAGTGAGCACAAAAATAAGAATAAGATTTAGATTAAGGCTAAGAATGGGATTGAAGTTTCTACGTACGGACTCCTTTGTACCTCATCATGGGTGTAACTTGAGTAGCTTGTTTTGAACTCTTGCGAGGTTGTCATTAAAAATATTAGCTAACGCTGCCTTTCTGAGCCCGATATTGGTGAAAACAGTCAGTCAACTGGTCCTCGAACCACCCAAGAACCGATAGTGTGACCAACTTAGCTGCGCTTGCTTCATCGTAATCGCTGTGGAAAGGACAAGCTCATGAAAGACCCCAGTTCCACGTGAAATGAGGCATTCTTTCCTTCTATTCATTTTTGGGTTAGTGGCCTGTATCCAAAGTGCCTCAAGGGTATTGAGCGCGCACAGCTGCGAAACTGTGCCACGAACCTATCGTTATCCACGACCACAAAAACGCCTCATTATGTTTTCGAGTGCGGTGGATTCATGCCTTTCTGGGTGCTCCTTAATCCTTTCATGTAGTGGTCTTGACGTTGAGCCAATATACTCATCCCCATACGTATGGCAAGTGATCTTATAGACCACTTCAGGCATGGTATATCCCCTTCCTTGCCAGCTGGACACTACACATTTTTGTGTGATGCTTCGGCGATAGTATGGCCGGTTTCGAATCAAGGGTTGTTTTAGATTTAATGTTGGAATGGTTATAATAACTATGATCATAATTACAACTGAATTTCACTGGCCCGCTCTCTTAGGCATTTGCTGATGGTTCGGCTGACTACATCGGAGATGAATGACAGTATGGAAACAGGAATTAAACATTTTCTTCCATCGAAGTTCTATCATGTCTTCGTATCACTTCCTTCGCAGCAGTACTGAACATGTTCCTGCAACGGCTCGTTTCGTCTGAAAGGGATGTGTTGAGCGACAATGGACGAGTTTTTATTGATGAACTTTCTCTACCACTTCGTAACAACAATATCGCCCTGCGACCTCACTTGAACGTTAAAGAAAGGAAGCCAACTTTCGTATGGTTTTCCCGTGTTAACGTGATGTGCTCCGACTATGTGTTAAATAGGTCAAAACACACATCCATTTCTCTTTCCGTCGAATACACGATGAAATGATCATCTACATACCTGTATTAGAGTAAGGTGAGGTATTCGTATACGTGCGCTTCTGATTGGCCTTGAAAGCTATTGTTAAAGCAGGTGCCAGTCGTTTTCCCATTGCCAAACTCTATCGGACCTCTAGTACGGCTTCTATAGCAGACTCTTTGCTGACGTATGCGGAGAGAGCTTCCACATTGAAAGATCGCTTAGAACCTATCTTTACTCATTCCTTTTTCCACTAACGACAGCACAAACCACCATGAGCTTTAGGAGAAGATGCAGGCTGCGTTTCGCTATTGTTCTTATTAACAGGGAATTCCATACTCACCTAGTGATTTGAGTGAGTTTCATAGTAGGAAATCATCGATAGCCGTCCCCTTTTGTACTCTTTACCTATTGTTTTTATTAGCCAACCCCTTTTGGGTGCGTCTTTGTTGGACACTGTATGTCCGCATGGCATATTGATTCCCCTATGTTCGAGAAAGACCAGGTTTAGAGTATTTCTTTTGTATTGAGAAAATAGTTTATTGGCTCTTTCTAGGATTGCACTCGATCTTGGAACCAAATGCAAACTTCTTGAAGAGCTCAACATGGCAAAGGAAATGGAAGTTGTTAAGTGAGTGGGGTGAAACTTGTCGGAATTCAATGCGTTTGCTCTAAAATTTCATTGATGAGAGCGGTTTCCAGATGAAGGATGATGTCTCCAGTCCTTTGCAGTGGACGTGCCGGAACAAAATTATTATAAAAGCCCAAATTATACAGCGTCGCCTCGCAAGTCCCATAGGCTTCTTCCATAGTCCGCTCGCCCTTGTTTACAACTGAATCTTGATCAATACCGCAGGCCGAGTAGTCCCCCAGCCGCCCGCGAGCGCGCGCCGGCTATGGGACTACTTGGACCGCGGTATAGATCAAGATTTGGTTGTAAACAAGGGCAAGCACTGTCCCG